GAAGACCTATGGTTTTCAATGTTTTCATTCAAAAACCAAGGAACACATTTGTTTTTCATTGATTTCAGCTGGAACAAATAATGAAAACCAATGGTTCTCTCCAATTCTTTCAATTGGAAACAAATGAAAACCGTTGGTTTCATGGGTGTTTGCCTTGGTTGTTACTTTTGTTGGTGCTCGTTTTGGTTATGTTGGAATTCGTGTATTAATTCGGTTTTCTGGTTTCTCACCCTCCTCGGTTGCTAACACGGCAACCGCAAGCGCAGTGGCAATAGCAGGAAACCAACAAAAGCACGAAATACAACAACAAACAAAACGAATACCAACAAACTTAATAACAAAGGAAAATAAACCAACAAAAACTTTGAGAACAAATTGTTTTTCAATGTTTTCATTCAGAAACTAACGTAAACCAATGTTTGTTCATTGACTTCGGCTTGAAAAAATGAAAACAAATGGTTCTTCAATGCTTTCAATTGAAAACAAATCAAAACCATTGGTCTCGTTGGTTTGTCTGCCTTGGTTATTAATGGTGTTGGTGTTCGCTTTGTTTTTGTTGGATTTCGTATTTTTGTTGGTTTTCTGTTGCCTTGCCCTTTCACTAGGGACAAAGCAGCTTTAAATGAAATCCGAGTGGGATCCCTTCGAACGAATTGTAATCCTCCTCAACAAGACTTCCAAGTGCAACGCGCCTTGAAATAGCGAAACAATTGAAAGCAACCACATCAACGTTTTCAAAACAAGATGTTCAGAAACATGAATCGGTGGGGTGCTGGGGGGGTGCTACCACATATAGATACACATATACATGTGTATCTGTATACATATATATATATATATACACATCCGCCGATCGGGCGTCTGAACTACAAGAAGCTTCAGCAAGAGCTTCAGCTCTGAGACTATGCAAGAGCTTCAACTCTGCTTGGGGGGGGCTCGCTGGTGTGGCTCTGCCGGGGAAGGGGGGGGAGTGGGGAGGGGGGCGGTCACCCAACTGGCGTTTTCGTAATGATTTGCGCATCCCCAAAAGGTTTCGGGTGGTCCCAGGGACCCCCCTCAGATCTAGCCGCTACCGCCCCCAGGACCCTCCCCTCGGAACCCTCCCAGGACCCCCCATGGGACCGCTCCAGGACCCCCCCCAGAGGAGAAGAGAGAAGACAAGGAAAAATCGAGGATGGAGGAGGCCACAGAGCCGCGAAGATCTCCGAACCCGGAGCCCCCCAGATCGACGGCACTGGCCGGAGGCCATTACAATACATATAGTTATGTGTATATATACATATGAATACGTGTGTGTATATAGAAATATATGTGAAACAATGTGATGGTCTGCGTTTAACGGCACACTGCTGGGTAACTCAAGAACCGGTGGAAGTGGCCACATTTTGACAGGTCGCAGACCCCCCGCGGGACGGCGAGGTTCCAAGCTGGTCTGCATTACACGTCACCCTGCTGGGTCTTTCAGCAGCCCACGGACGTGACGGCGGCGTCGCAGGTGGCAGCCCACCAGGGACGGCGAGCTCACATGGTGGTCCACGGAGGACGCCACTCTGCCAAGCGCCTCAGAAGCCTACGAACGTGGCGACAGCCTCCCAGGTCGCAAACCCCCCAGGGGCGGCCATCTCATGATGAACTGCATAAGACGTCACTCGGTCGGGCCCCTCAGGAGCCAACGAAAGTGGTTTCAAGTTGGTAATGTCCCCCTACCGGCGGATTTTGGGCGAAAATCAAACGTAGTAAAAGGTATTCAAACATACTCAAACAACTCACAAAATCATCCCCATTCTATCTCTTACTATCTTTGACTATTCCTCCTGTAGAGGGGCACGCCCGACTTGAACAGAGTCGCGAATCGCAGTTATCTAGGGAGTGCGAGGTCTCATGGTGGTCTACGTAGAACCTCTCTCTGCTGGGCTCCTCAAGACCCAGCGAACGTGGCGACGGTTGCGCAGATCGCCACCCCCCCCGGGCAGCGAGGCCCCGCGGTGGTCTGGGTAACACGCCACTCTGCTGGATCACTAAGGAGCCCGCGAACGTGGCGACGGCTTCGTAGATCGCAGCCCCAAGGGACTGCGACGTCTCATGGTGGTCCGCATAAGACGTCGGTCACTTAGCTGGGCCTGGGCCTCCCAGGCGCCCGAAAAAGTGGCGGCTGCTTCGCAGGGATCGCAGCCGCGCAGGGACTGCGAGGTCTTCAGGCGGTCTGCGCAAAACGCAACTCATCAGCGCATCCCATGAGCCCGCGGAAGTGGCGATCGTTTCACAGATCGCAGGCCCCAAAAGACGGCGAAGTCTCATGGTGGTCCACGGACGACGTCACTCTGCCAGGCGTCTCAGGAGCCCACAAACGTGGCGACAATTTCCCTGGTCGGGCCCGTCAGGAGCCCGCCACTCTGCCGGGCCCGTCATGAGCCCGCGAAAACTGCGACAGCGTTGCAGAACGCAGCCCTCCACGGACGGCGAGGTCTCATCGTAGTCTGCGCAAGACGCACCCCTGCTA